TGTACATGAGAGAATTAAACAACAACAACAAAAGAAAATACCCAATAAGTTTTCCAAACATTCGAATTAAATTCTTCAATCCTCTATTCGATTGCTACAAGAAGGGAATTCTTCGAATTGGGTTTCACCTAACCATTGGGAATCCATAAAATTTCGTGTTTTTCTGCTAATTTGGTTAGGATTCATCTTGATTTTTCTGAGTCCGATCAAAAATTTCATTTTTTTTGTATAAAGTTTGATTCTTTCGAGCTGATTTCCGATCATTTGGGAATCCGATCAATTTTTGGTGATGATGGTGATTGATTGTTAGGGTTTGATCTTTTTATTGTTCAAGGGTCAGATCAAAATTACATTTTTGTATCGTAAAACGATGAGGTTTCTAAGCCTCGTCGGAAACTCTTTCGGATGTTCAGCGTCCGGCGAACGATTAGTATCAGCGGCCAGAGACGGCGATTTACAGGAAGCAAAAGCTCTCTTAGATTACAACCCAAGACTCGCTCGTTACTCCACTTTCGGTGTTCGTAACTCTCCTCTCCATTACTCCGCCGCTCAAGGCCACCACGAGGTACCCAAAATCTCCAATTCCCATTTGAAAAAATCCAAACTTTCATTGTAATGATAATGATGGTGATGATTTAGGTTTGTTTATGTTCAGATAGTTTCTCTGTTGGTGGAATCAGGAGTTGATATTAATCTCAGGAACTATCGTGGACAGGTAAAAAAGCTCTTGTGATTGCTGTATTTGTTTCGTTTCGTTTTCGATTCAGGAATCTGAATACATGAGTTTATGGATTGGAAACAGACGGCTTTGATGCAAGCTTGTCAACATGGTCATTGGGAGGTTGTTTTGATTCTGATTCTGTTTGGTGCGAATGTAAGGATTTTGATCAACTCTGTATTGTGATTTCTGACAGATTGTGATAAAAGGGAATGATTATTGTTTCTTTGATTGTTTCGGGATTTAGATACACAGATCGGATTACCTGAACGGTGGTACTGCTCTGCACCTCGCGGCTCTAAATGGTCACCCTCGGTGTATCAGGATATTGCTTTCGGAGTACATACCGAGTATCCCCAATTGCTGGAGCCTGTTGAAGAATAAGAAATCCTCAATTGCTGGATTTGATGCGAGGTAAAAAGGTGTTTTAAAGAGTTAAGCTAACGCTTTAGTCCCCGATGACTAGTTGAATGTGTGTTTGTGTTGTTTGAATATGTGTAGTGTTCTTCACGAAGTGATAAACAGAGCAGCAGATGGAGGAATCACACCTCTTCATGTGGCGGCTCTGAACGGACATATAGAGACGGTTCAGTTACTCTTGGATTTGGGAGCTTCAATTACTCAGGTCACTGTGGAAGACGGAACCACAATAGATCTTATAGGTTATTATAATATGCCTCAATAGACTTAACTATGTTAATGGATAAAAAGAGATTCTTTTAGGGAAAAACTTAACTCCTTAGTTGGTTTTATATTGAAGGTGCTGGGAGTACAGCTCTCCATTATGCTTCTTGTGGCGGAAACACGCAGTGTTGCCAGGTATACATGCTTAAACAAAGAATCATGTTTCCGAAGAGTCCGGTTTTTTATTTTCCTGAGAAAAGTTCTGTTTCTTCTGTTATGTTTCGTTTTAAATTCAGATATGAATTCATTTGGCATTTGTTTTTGCTCAGCTTTTGATCGATAAGGGTGCCTGTTTAACTGCCGTGAACTCCAACGGGTTAGATTT